ACTTTGGATGGGTTAAATGCAGAGCACTAATTCCTAGTATGGGTCACCATACTTGGCCACATGTCACTTCACTCACTCACTCACTCACTCACTTCACTCACTTAAACTTGGATGGCAGTGTGTATAATAATATTTATGAAGTAATTCTAACATTATACTTCTAAAAACGAATTGAATTGAATTTACAGTGTTCTAAATGTTTTTATTATTCATTAACTTTTAATTATTAGCTAATGAACTATTTGTTTACCATCAATTGTGGGGACATTTTTATTTAAAAAGTTTTAACTATTTACTGTAAATTACAGTAAATGTTGTTACAGTAATAACAGTAATGTGAAATATTATTGCAATTTAAATGAAATGCTTACTATTTGAATGTTTTTAAAATGTAATGACAACGCTGAATTTTCAGCAGTCATTACTCCAGTTTTCAGTGTCACATGTTCCTTCAGAAATCATTCTAATATGCTAATTTGTTGCTCATTTATCATTTATTATTATCAATGTTGAAAACAGTTGTTATTAAACATTAAGCAATATTTCTCTAGCATTCTTTAATGAATAGAAAGTTACGAATAGAAATCGTACAAAAAATCGTACTGAAAACAAACTGGGGGAAGTCGTGGCCTAATGGTTAGAGAGTCGGACTCGTAACCCAAAGGTTGCGGGTTTGAGTCTCGTACCGGCAGGGATTGTAGCATTTTATATTAGGTGGCCTTAACTACTATATTTAATTTAATCATTTGGTACAATGCACTTATTCATGTTTTTACATTGTACTTATATTTAAAAAAATACCTGCATGTAATTACATCTGTAATCAATTTCTGTAATTACATTTATAATTATACTGTTGAATTACCCTTAAACCTACCCATACCACCAAACCTGTCATTAACCTTACCCGTATCCCACCTCAATAGCAGCAAAAGTGTTTTGCAATACAATATAAACACAGTAAGTACATAGTACTTATTTTTTGATGTAAGTACATAGTGGTTAAGGCCACTTAAGTGGGACCGTTTCTAACATGGTTAACATGGTTATCCATACCTGTTGATTCAGGATTACATTATGACATATTTTAATCAGGCCGTTCCCCAGAAACATGAATTATGAATTATTAGACTCTTTAAACAAGTTGCATTACAACTACTAAATTATGAATAGTATTACTTAAATGTGCTGTTAATAAGGACTTGGCTAGAAGACTGACAAGCAGTGAATAATAAGAAATAGGGCTGTCAAAAAAACGTGTGTGCATGTTGCATTCGAATTTTAGGTGTGCATCAGGCAGCCTTATCAGTGGTGCACGAGATGCGATGACAATGTAAGTGTCATTGCGTTTTAATGTTTTTGTTAGCCTATCCAGTTGAACCCACTAGATGCGGCGCTGCTATGTTGTTCATTAAAATATTGCGGGAAAAAAGAACATCAATGCAGCGATGATGTTGTTTACGTCAAAACCGAAACCAAACCGTTCACACAGAACGCATATTTATCACATTTTCTAGAGGGACGTCTATCACCGTTGCACTCGCATCTCTCACAAGAGAGCCGCCAGAGCCAGCCGTATGTTTAGAAAGCCATGTAAAATTAATGTAAGTTCAACTTTTTAAAAACATATCTCAAGACTTTATGGCGGTTTTTCCCCATCCTACTGCATCTCAAGTTTTTAAAAAAGTAGGCTACTCTTTGTGATTGGTTTTCGGTCCTTTGTATTAAACTATACATACATGCATGATTCTGTTTTGTTTCTAATTGTTTAAGCAACATTATATAAGGTTTATAAACATTATTTTAAACATTATGCACTGTTTTTCAAAGATAGTCGTGTTATTTTATTATGCTTTGAAGAAACGTGTATAATATTTTGTTCGATGCTCCCTCTTGTGGCCTCAGGAGAGAAGCCAAAAGCTTTTTTCCCCCCTAACTGAAATTATGCCTTTTAAATTCAAATATAATTCGAATATTGATAATATTTAAGTACAAAATTCGAATTGAGTTTTTCAGCCATTTTGACAGCCCTAATAAGAAAACATAAATACAATCAACTAATGCCAAAATCAAGCTGCTAAACTTACACATTAAAATGTGTTAAAATTAAACTGTAAACTGTAAATTAAACTCTATACATCAATAATGATTGTAATGGCTTTGCAATATAAGCATCATAACATAATGTACAGTAAATACAGGTGCATCTCAATAAATTAGAATGTCGTGGAAAAGTTTATTTCAGTAATTCAACTCAAATTGTGAAACTCGTGTATTAAATAAATTCAATGCACAGAGACTGAAGTAGTTTAAGTCTTTGGTTCTTTTAATTGTGATGATTTTGGCTCACATTTGACAAAAACCCACCAATTCACTATCTCAACAAATTAGAATACTTCATAAGACCAATAAAAAAAACATTTTTAGTGA